ACTTCAGATGATGTGTTCTCCTCTCCCTGCCCCAGTGGATAGACTCACTCCCCCTCAGTAGACCTATGATCACCTTCATGTTATATTCTATACTTCAGATGATGTGTTCTCCTCTCCCTGCCCCAGTGGATGGACTTACACACCCTCAGTTCACAGGTGTTATAAAATGTCCAGTGATTCTCAGACGTTCCCAGTGGCCAGGACAAAGTGCCGTGAGATGGGAGGAATCCTGGCCATGCCAAAGTCTGCAGCCTTACAGGATGCAATGGTTTCTATAATAATGTATGTTCATTGACTGGTTTTTTTCTTTTAAGGCAAATTGCCCTTGTTTTCCACTGTAAGCCAACAACAGGTTTTTAAAATTAGCTCTTTGTTGCATATTGCATCAGCAGTAGAACAAGTTCAGCTTTAAGTGAAAATTGTACAAGATTAAGTGTAAAATTGCTTCAAAACCTTTTTATGATATGATCAATGATATTAAATTTGAGTACATTGAAAGTGAAATATTCTTAATGAATATTGAAGTAAAAGGTCAAAAGGTGCTAACAACTAAAAAGCAGTGGTAGACTGCAATGTTCCTGGTGAAATGGGTCCTCAGAATTTCTCCCCCAATGTTGCATCAGACAAAAATGTATGCCCCCTGTATATATAACACTATCTGCATGACTTTTTTTATATGCTCTATGCTCACTCCTGTTCTGTTATCCCCCTTGATAAGAATCATGAGAGACTATTGGATTGGCCTGGAGCGCTTCATAACACCATCAAATGAGTACATCCTGGTCTGGGAGGACGGCACACAGTTGGATATTGGCAATGACTATGATAACATATGTTCATGTGAATATAGAGAAATAGGTGACTACTGTGCTGCAGTGCGTGTGAGTTACATCGTTTTTCCTGCCTGGGGAGACTTGAGCTGCACAAATTTCAGGACTTATATCTGTGAAATAGCAGGTAGGGTTTGATTTCAAACTAGATAACTGTATTCAATGAAAAATACCTAAAGATACATGTCTATGTTGTACTTATGGAGTTATATAACCATGTAAGATTGTGTTGATCTTTCTCTAGCTATTTCACTCAGCACCGTTATTTTATAATTAACAACGTACAATTCTGAGTGGAAAAATTGTTTTTCAATTATCTGCACATCCACAATACTGGGTAACAACATTGGATATGGGCAACATGTGGCGTTGATCTTGTGAGCAAGCTTTCCACTTAGAATATGCATCATATTTTGCTCCATATTCATAAAGTTGGGAAAATGTGACATTGAACACATAAAAATTTTCAGGGAAGAGTACAGCTAGTTAACTTAACAAAGCATGCTGCGATCCTGAATCAGCGGTTAAACAGCAATGACATGATGTCATTTTTTATGAGTTGCAATACAGAAGTGGGAACAGTGTATAGCTAATTTAATAAGTCTCATGTAGTGTTCATATGACCAGTCTTCATCAGTGGATATCTTCACTATCTATGTTACAAGTCCCAGGGCCAAATCTGAATGGGGAAATGAAACTTCACACTAGCTATGGTTTCGGTGACGGGAATTTGAATGGGAATCTGATTGGGCCATAACATCTGTGATTACATGCTCAAATGATAGGTTTTCCTTACACATTGTTGTTTTATTAAAAACGGTGTATTTCAGGTATTTGAATCCGGAAATTGAAATTTTCGTATAGTTCACATGTATGGGAAATGACCTTGTACTGAAGTTGAAAACGGAAACGATAGTAATGCACAACAACCCATTTTCCTCACCCACCAAAATATGTGATGAAGAGCAATTTTTGTTTTTCTCTAGTATGTATGCTGTAAATAATCCCTGAGATGACCACAAAACATGAAAATACTGTTCTGAGAGCTTTCTTTTCCATACAGTACAGCTGCAAAATGGACTGGTATGCCTGTTTCCCAGGTTCAAGCACTGTTTTAGCATCATTTTTGGCTAAGAATTAAAAAGTTGGAAATACACAGCATTGTTTAGAAACATATAATTGTTTGTTGCAATAAGACAAATTTCACATGAAAGCACCCTGATTGTAATTGAACACAAAATATTTTGACAGACTTTCAAAGATATATCCTCTTTCACATGAAAGCACCCTGATTGTAATTGAACACATAGGAATATTTTGACAGACTTTCAAAGATTTTTTCTCTTTCACATGAAAGCACCCTGATTGTAATCAATCACAGGAATATTTTGACAGACTTTCAAAGATGATCACATACTGCTGTTACCCAGTATCGTGGACTTAAGGTGCTTTCCCAAAGATTTAGATAGATCTAAAGATTAAGTTTTAGATCGACCTAACTCCCTGGGGGTTCACGCTAAATTGCAGTCAGCCGCGCGGGCACCATAGTTAATTACCCCCTTACAGCTTTTAGAAGGCGGGACAGACGCTTAAGCCGGCCAAGCTGACAGTAATCTAGTGAGACTCCCCACAGGGATAGATCGATCTAAAAATCTATGGAAATGGGGTGATAGTTCCTTTTGCCACTGAGAAACAGTATAAGGCAACCCTACCAGACTCCCAAATATAACCATAAATTGAGCCTGTATCTAATTTTTTCTGTCGGAAGACGGTCAAAAAATGGAGGATGGATCGTCAAATATAATATGGAAGACTGTCAGAAAATATCTGTGGATCTGCCCCTGCATAAATTGAGCCTGTCACAATGTTATTATCAAAGTGTATGAGGAGATCACTTCCACAGGAACTCTGCTTACATCTAAATACTCGACTCTATCATATATTTGTTCCAGAGTGTGAATTCCCATCTATTCCAAATGTTGTTGAAGAATGGGGAGGGAAGCTGGCAGGAGCCAGTATCACCTACACCTGCCTGCCTGGGTACAAAGTGGTCTCTGGGGACACCACCAGGACCTGTCTATTCAATGGAACCTGGAGTGGCTCACCGCCTGTCTGTGGATGTAAGAATATGGTGGACAACTCCTAAAATTTTAAACACTTAATGGTTGCCAATATTAAATGTTAGCAAGATTTATTATTTTAATCTACACTTGGCTCTAGCATTTGTAAACCTAAACACAGTCCTTTTGTAGACAATATAAACAATTGCCTTGGGATAATGATTGGCTATTTTTGTTAAAATTTTTATCCAAAAATATTTCACTTTAAGATAAGCATCATATTCCATATGTGTTTAAGCTGGAATACCTTAGAAATTATTTATTTATCAGTTGTTAATTGACAATGCAGCAGATGTCATGAACAAGACCTCCTCCCTCCAGTAACATCATGGTATTCTTAGTCCTACGTACAAGAGTGTCATTTTCTACTCATTCTTGTTTGGCAAAAGAAAGAGGATTTTTGGCATCTACATCAAGCAGCAAAAGTTCTCTAATTACAGAATTTGAGCAGTGTGATTATACTTGCTGTGGTCACATACTTGCTGTGGTTACTTAGTCTGAATTTAACCTCGAAACAGTCTTAAAAGGTTTTTATCAAACCATACTTATGTATTTTACACATGTTATTCACTGTCCATACCAAGTATATGTCCGAATTTTGCTCTCGACAATCTCCAGTTCATATAGATTTAGACTTATTGGAAAAACTATCCAGATGAAAGGAGCTGGCAATATCTTAATACCCGGTATTTCTCTATCCAGATGGAGGGAACTGGTTGGCCTGGGGACCCTGGGAGGATTGTTCTGTGCTGTGTGGGACAGGAACCACATCCAGAAACCGTACATGTCACGACCCAAATGTGCCCAGTGAACAGGCCCTGTGTACAGGTGGCGCCACCAACTCAACCCAGACAGCGACCTGCTTGGATCAAAACTGCCCACGTATTTAGAAATATTGAACATATTTTTGAACAAAAATATCACATATTACCTTCAGCTATAGATTTATAGATAATGTACTCTTTTAATACATAACAGTGTAATCTGTTAATATATGAATACAAACTTGTGTTATTATAATAATATTGATTTTACCAACAACTATGATAACATACATACCGTACATGTAAGTGTGAACTTGGAGACTTGAGTAGCCCCTGCGCTGCTATACGTTTGTCTAGCCTATTGTTTTCTATGTGGGGAGACACCAGCTGTGAACATTCAGTTTATTATATCTGTGAATTATCAGGTTGGGTTTGAATTAAAACTAGATATCTGTATTCAGTAAAGAATATTAGCTAAAGATGCATGTACCTGATACTTTTGGAATTATATAGGTATGTACAGTTGTGTTGATGTTTCTCTCCTCCCAGCACTGCTCTTTTATAATTAACAATGAAACAGTACGGATTGGATTTTGTTGAAAGAGATCTGGGATAAAAGACCTGTTAATACAAATTTTCATCCTATTTCCATTTGCAAGTAAGATATGCTGGAAGGCAACTCTACCACGCCCCCAAATATAACCATAAATTGAGCCTGTCACAATGTTCTTATCAAAGTGCATGAGGAGATCACTTCCACAGGAACTGTGCTTACATCTAAATACCTGACTCAATCATACATGTATATTTGTTCCAGAGTGTGAATTCCCATCTATTCCAAATGTTGTTGAAGAACGGGGCGGAAATGTGACAGGAGCCAATATCACCTACACCTGCCTGCCTGGGTACAAAGTGGTCTCTGGGGACACCACCAGGATCTGTCTAATCAACGAGACCTGGAGTGGCACACCTCCTGTCTGTGGATGTAAGAATATGGTGGACAACTCCTAAAATTTTAAACACTTTTAAAATGGTTGCCAATATTAAATGTTAGCAAGATTTATTATAATTATCAAAAAATTTATCTTAAAATATTTCATTTTTAAACAACCTTTTCTATATCTGCTTCAGCTGGAATATATTAGAAATTATTTATTTGTCAGTTGTTTATTGACATTGCAACAGATGCCATGAACAAGACCTCCTCCCTTCATTAACATTAAAACCACTTGGCCAGCTTTCATGTGGACCCTTCTGTCAATACTGGTTGTTTTTCTCAACCCAGGACTAATTTTCAATGATACAATCAATTAAAGCTCTCAAGATTCCTAGTCCTACCGGGTACAAGAGTGTTCAGATTATTGTTTTTCCTTTTATCAAGAGCTTGTAGAATATGTGGGTATTACCTCCAATATTTCTGTGACTGTCAGTCACCATCATCAGGGAGTAAATGACTAGGGTCATTTCACCTGGAATGAAAATCCAGGACAATTGCCCCTAATCACTGGCCTTGTGTTGTAACTGTTACATCCTTAATGACAGAATATGAGGAGTGTGATCATACTTGTTTTAGTCACTAAGTAATTAGTCCCAGTTTAACCTCAAAACAGTCTCAGGTGGTTTTAATCAAACAATACTAATATATTCCTACACATGTAATCCACTGTCCATACTAGGTAAATGTCAGAATTTTGCTCTTGACAATCTCCAGTTCATATAGAAAACATACCAAATTGGTCGATGAGCATATTTTAATTAATTAGGCTTTAACTTTATTTAATTTATATATTTGAAGCAATTAATTTTATTTAAATATGTATATTTCTCTATCTAGATGGCGGGAGCTGGTTGGCCTGGGGAGCCTGGGGTGATTGCTCTGTGCTGTGTGGGACAGGAACCATATCCAGAAACCGTACCTGTCACGATCCAAATGTGCCCAGTGAACAGGCCCTGTGTACAGGTGGCGCCACCAACTCAACCCAGACAGCGACCTGCTTGGATCAAATCTGCCCACGTATTTAGAAATATTGAACATATTTTTGAACAAAAATATCACATATTACCCTCAGCCATAGATTTATAGATAATGGTACTATTTTAATATATTAAAATGTCAGCTGTTAATATCTGAATATGAACTTATGTTATTTTAATAATAATAATAATTTGTATTTAAGATACTGTCTCCCTACAATTTTTTCTCTAGTTTTCAAATAAATTAATTATTAATTTCTGTTTCATATCACAAGCACATATGTCAATGGTTATTCCAGATTGCAACACAATGAACTGCCTAGGGCTGTGTATAGTGAGAGATCTACACTCCTACTGTGTCTGCCCTCACAGTGTGGAAGACAAAGTTGGCACAGTTGAACACTCAGCGCTCTACATAATACAGAGGTGATTCTTCCTAAGGAAAATGATTTAACCACTGAAAATTTAATTATCATATATTTCCCACTGTCCACAAATTATGAGTTGACATGTAAGATTGGTGTATAAAGTCTGGCCCTGAAGCCAAATATTTCTCCAAACTTAATTTTCCAGTTGTTTCTCTTGGAATGGGTTCCCATACTTATATTGATCTACCAGGATGAATCTATCTCCAAGGAGTTTCTCACTAAATTGCTTTCAGCGTAAGAGGGTTAGATGTCTGGCACCCCCACTGAGGCTGTTAATGATAGTTAATTATCTGCTCGCAGGTTAAGTAGGCCTGACAGATATCTGTGCGACTTAAGTTGATTGCAATTTACCAAAAATCCCCTTGGAGATAGATCAATCCACAATTAGGATGATAGTGACTGGGAATGGTCTCAAGGTGTACTGCTCAATGTAAGCTGTCTATATCCCTGGAGCCAAGGTGTCCATACTTAATTGTCCAGTTGTCTCTCTAGGTGTACTGGTCAGTGTAAGCTGTCTTACCCTGGAGCCAAGGTGTCCATACTTAATTGTCCAGTTGTCTCTCTAGGTGTACTGGTCAATGTAAGCTGTCTGACCCTGGAGCCAAGGTGTCCATACTTAATTGTCCAGTTGTTTCTCTAGGTGTAGTGGTCAGTGTAAGCTGTCTGACCCTGGAGCCAAGGTGTCCATACTTAATTGTCCAGTTGTCTCTCTAGGTGTACTGGTCAATGTAAGCTGTCTGACCCTGGAGCCAAGGTG